ACTGACAGTGTTGAACATAGAATGATAATTGAGTATGCATCCAAGCAACCAGGATACAATCAGGATGAGGTTGTCAGATTAGCAGCTATAAAATTTCATGAAGACCGTGTGTAAATTTGTCTAAAAATGAGAATTGCAAAATAAATAAATTCTGTGAAATCTTGTGTATAATCTTTATTCTGTGCTACAACAACCACTCCGAGTGCAGATGAATAATACTGGCCCTCCTAGAAATACCCCCAATTTTTGATGTAGAGGGTACAGGTGTACCCCCAAAATGTGTGTTATACCTCCAGTTTTCTGTATAGAGGGTACATATACCCTCAGTTAAAAAAGACAGTGGGAATGCTGTTGTCAGGTGTGTAGTAAAAAGTCCAAGGTGTTATACAAAGACCGTGCTTTTGAAAATTTAGGTCCTAAACTTTTTAATGAATTACCTCTGTCTGTTCGTTCTAGTCCTTCAGTAGACATTTTTAAATCCAGACTGAAAACGCACTTATTTAAATGTGCTTTTAATATTTGACTGATTGTTTATTGTATCAGCGCCTTTGATCTTCATATGTTGGAATTGTTGCGCTTAATTAAATAAAGTTATTATTATTATTTATTATTAGTATTAAAAATTCTAACAAAAATTTGGCAGTTCTGTGAATATTCTGTATATTTGTTGGAAAGAATTAAGGTTTTTTGGGACATTTAGTGTAATACCTTCAAATTATTAATCACTGAGCATGACTGTCATGTAAAGTCAAGGGTTTATCAAATGTGAGGCTATGCAACTAGTGTGTTACATTGTATGTGATGAGAATCTCAATTCAAAGTCACACAAATTGCGAGTTGATCACAAAATCACAAAACAAGCGCAGTCTACATTTCTAGAAATACTATGCAAATGAGTTCATTCATCTAAATTGTTTTTGCTAGCATTCTAGCTTATTCATAAAACATTAATTAAGTATAGCGTGCATTTTGTGTTTTTGAATAAGAGGATAATCAAAAATTTTTTCAAGTGTTCACTGCATTCTGTGATGCCATTGGTTGAAATATTTTTGATTGGTGAAAACTCATGACCACTTGTAGCAAGTCCTCGTTAGAAACTGGAATACTTAATGAAGGAGTAACTGGTTTACTAACCATTGGAATCTCATTTACCCTAGACTGGTTCACTATTTAAACAGTACTATCGAATTTCTCATACATGTAGCACCGCACATAGATGTCATACCCTTGTTGTATAAATCCGTAGTTATAGCAACACTGTATGAATAAAATGATTTAATTCAATGATAGATACTGAAGTAACGTCTTTGAAAGGCTCAGAAGAAAATAACAAGGATGGAGAAGAGAAATGCAAAGAAGAGGAGAAAGAAAAAGAAAAAATTGATTCATTGTTCAGGTATCCATTGCTACCACAACAAGTATTTATATTCTCGTATTCCTCAAAACATAATATACCCCCCCCCCTCCCATGTATTTAAAAGATTTTTTGTGCAAATCAAATTTCATTAATTTTTTAATATACCATTTTTGTGGCATGATGATGGTCAGTAACTGTAGCAATATCAGAGCATGTGTGAGTTTATTTCTTGTTGAAATACACACTAAACCTGATGAGATTGTATCAATTACATGTAAATAGTGTCCATGAATATATCTCTATGGTGAAAATGTAAATTTTCATTTTTTTTTTCATCAAACATAGTCCTAAAAAATACTTTTGTTATATTTTCCACCCTCTGCATGTGAATGCATGCATACATGCCTAGGTTAATATTAATTGATTGTATGTGCGGGGCTATGCAGTTAACAATGACTTGTTTACAGGACACAGTGAATCTGTGTGCTCTTATGGCTTTATCAAGTAAATGTGATAAATGAGAACAGAAAACAAATGGAAAACATTTCCTATATACATTATAATATAATTTTTGACTCCCGTGTGCGAAGCACAAAAAAGGAGTCTTTGCAGTTAGTGTGTCTGTATGTGTGTATGGGTGTGTGTGTGTATGCGTGTGTATGCGTGTGTATGTGTGTGTGTGTGTGTGTGTGTGTATGTATGTGTATGTATGTATGTATGTGTGTCCGTCTGTTCCACTGATATCTCAAGAACCATACATCAGTTTTTGATGAAACTTGGTGCATAGATGCTCTGGGCCAATGCCCAGATTTGATTAGGTTTTGGTAAAAATCCGTGCATATTAATTACCTAATTTGCATGATAATTAGCTGATTTTTAGCTGTTTCATGACTGTTCCACTGATATCTAAAGAACCACTCATTGGATTTTGATGAAACTTGGCACACAGATGCTCCAAACTAATGCGCAGATTTGATTAGTTTTGGGTAAAAATCTGTGCAATATTAATTACCTAATTTGCATAATGATTAATCAATTTTCGGCTTTTCCACTGATATCTCAAGTACTATCATCACATTTCAT